GGCTTGCACCCAAACTTGCAATTCAATAGGCTGACGAAATGTTGATTTCTCAGGTTTTTAGCTCATCCTGACGTAGTCAGGATGCAGGCTTGTAGAATCGCATGATGTGCTGTCCGTGCGTGCGTGCGTGCCCCTCAACAGGTGGGGCACAAAATCTAAACGGCACATCGACGACGTCACGATATTGGGGACGGGGGGGGGTGGCTAATCCGAAAACGAAGTGTGATACAGATTTATAGTGCACGCGACATTTTCGCACGCATGATTTTCGCTGGCCATACGCCAATGCTAGCGATAGTCCCAGTACCTAAACGTATACGTAACAGTAGCTCTGATTGTAATGAACGTAATCCACGCTACGATCACGGGACGCTCGTGAATAAGGAAGTAGGGTGTGTTGCGGGGCGGCCAAACACCCTATGGTTCGAGCGATCCGGACTAACCACGGCGCCACAGACTAAACAATGGAAAGCAGACGCACTACGCGTTATTTACGTATATTTGGTCAGAACGACATACACCTGTTCCGAAATAATAATATTGAAGAACATTAAAGTGGCGTACCCGAATTTCCATTAGCACCCTAACCCGTTATTTACATATTGCCTCAATACCGAGAATACACAGAACTCCCACCCATTTACTAGCCTCATTAGTCGTACCCTACTATTAGTGTTTCAATCGGTTGTTAATTTGTAATCGCATCAGTCGGTTTGGACCCAAGTAACGATGAATACGATTACAATCGCTTATTACTCGGCGGCTGAAATGCCCTGCGTGTGCTGTAACGTCGGTTGTTGCTGTAGTGCTTGTTAGCCCTCGTTTACTGTTTGTATTGCACGTGTTACTACTGTGTGTTAATACATGTACTGATTCTCATCACTTTTCAAAGTTTTCTTGTTCAAATTTTTAAAAAATAAAAATTTTTGTTTTGTTTTGTTTTTGATGAAATCGATTATTGTGATTTTGTAACAAAGCGGCTTGGTTCGCAGCACTGGTTTCCCAACCGCATGATCGTTAGTATAAGGATCGCTGATTCCCCGATCGTGAGCATCACTTAGATATATAGCACCGCTTTCATTTTTTTATACAAAGAGTTGAAGAACCACCTCTGGGTATGCGATCCCCCGGCTTCTATGGAGGGACCCTTTATACCCGGCAAAACTGAAAGCATTCCGCACCGCGCACCCGATAGCATGTGCACGGTTGTGCGCGCTTATCATCGCGCCTCAATGAAAGATCGTGGTTGAAAATCGGCGCACCAAAAGTATGTCGTATTATGTTGAACATAGCTGCGTCCATAGAGTTTCTCTAAGTAGGGGGGGTACAAAAAGGTTAGCAACACACAATCAATTGTGGTGTGAAGAACACTGAACGTATTGGCCAGAAGGTACAAGTCTGGTTACTACCCTCTGGTTGTATATATAATATATAAAACAAAAACGTAAACACAGCATCCAAATAATCAGGAGGGTTACCATACGGTTAGCCACAAGTTACCTGCCTCGTTTTCTACTATACGTGGCGTAGAAGTGGTTTCTGGCCAAAACGTGAAACAGTCGTAGGGCTGGAGGGGTACATACGTGCGCTACTACGCTTACAAGTAATTTGGCTAGTTTGTGATGCGATTGTTGATGATATGTGATTTGTGCTGAAATTGCAGGTAACAGGATTAGAAATCCTCTAAGGATGGAAATCAGAATGAAAGGATAAAAACAAGTGTAATTTTTACAGTTCCGATCAACTCTTTTATTAATCTTGCTGGCTAGTGTGGGTTGTTGGATGAAAAGAATTGTAAGTCCTGACAAAGCCATTGAATGAATGAAGGTGAGAGATGAGATGATAATCAGTAGAATTGACATGAGTCATCCCAATTTCGTTTTGGTATTTCACTCTAGACTGAGATTGGTCATGATTCCCATATCACACCCCAAAAGAGGGGGGGGGCGGGGCCAATGATGGAGAGCCCTCAAGGAGCTCTCCATCATCCCTTTGTAAAGGAGAACATGTGACTTTTTTAGTGGAGCCTCTACCATCGGTGCTCTTTAAGGGTGTGATTTTTTAGTGGAGCTCTCCATCATTGTCTCTTAAGGGTGTGATTATGGAGCGTCGTGAAAAGACCCCCTATGGTGTCCTAGGGGAGTCATTAGTAGTCCTCCTGTACCTTTCAAATCTGAAAGCCTGTATAAGCATCCCGGGACAAACAATTCTCTGCTAAACACCCGTAGCAACATGTGACGTCACCTAGCCGAATTCGAGGCTATTTTGCTTGCCAACCAATTTAGCGTTGGCACCAGATTACCAGATTTACGGATTTCAATTAGACATTTCTTAGTAATTAGCAGTGATATTGGACAAACTAATATGCGTTTGGCTATAAGGTAATGTACTTATTAACTACAGAAGGTGCCAGTTACTGTAGCATTCGTCAACTTTGCATAATCAATGGGCCTATTATGCCTTTAATTTTTCTAAATTATTCATACTAATTGATGATTCATCAATTAATCTTAATATTTTTGCTGTTTCACAGACTGTGTCACAGTGTGTGTGTGTGTGAAAGTCAGGGTACGGTGGTAAAATGCAGGGTACGCAGCGACATATCGTATAGTAGTTTAGTACCCCGAGGTACTTTCCGATATATCAAACCGTACGGCGTACCCAGAGTACCCTCCGATAGTACCCTGGGGGACATAGACCCTATCAGCACTACTAGTACTAGGATGAGGCTTCAAGGGGAAAATCAAGTTTGTAATTTTTTACATAAAGGTGAGAGATAAAGATAATAATAATAATAACAAATGTTAAGAGAATGTGTACTGTATAATAACGTACGTAACTTAAGTTTAGTCTTACTCTAGCTCTAGTAACTATAGCCCGCGTACAGTTGCCGCTGGCTATAGCCACTAGCATAGTTACTAGAGCTAGTCTTACTCTTAGTCTTACTGTTTTAGTCTACGCGTTCGGCCTGCTGCAGTTAACCAGTAGGTTGTACACCTAGAGTTACATATGTAGTGTTTTAATATGTATGTACCATTAACAGATGCAGCCTCCAGTTTCTGCTTTGCAACTAATCCCCGCTGTTGCTTTGTGGAATCTGTAAAATACTGGTAGCATTTGCGGTGAAATCCAGCATCTCGTGGCAAGGCCAAGGGCACGGCATGTGGCCCAGCGGCAGTGACTCCCTGAGTATGGATGAAATTTTTCGCAATTTGAGCTTGATTGCCCACTAAATCATTCCAAATTGCAACACTCCGTAGAAACGTGGTCCAAGTTAAATCTTTGAAAGGTGTAATTTCACTCAGAAACACCTGGGGTTGTGACAATAACACAGTATTTTCAATGGCTCCGTGGGCGCAGTCATGTTGGAGTCCTTAGCAACAACATATGTACAAACATAGCGTAGTACGGCTCATTCGATTTGATTATTTACTTCGCTCTTAGCCGCGCATGCGTTGCAACGCGGGACCTAATTGGACAATTCTCCGTCATTTTACTACGCGTTGTCGGTGAATAATAAGCTGAATTTCCTAATTTTCCTGCCAAATTACTAAAAACCTCGCAGGCCTCAGACGTGGGATAAGATGAAAATTGTTGTTTCATATTTTCCCCTTTATTTACAAAAAAATTTCATGTTCTGTCGGGGAGGGGATCACAAGACTGAAAGAACGGACAGGACGGCCTATAGTCTATAAAGAGAGAGAGAGAGAGAGAGAGAGAGAGAGAGAGAAAGAGAGAGAGATAGTGTAGTGGCCCTAGGGGTGGCCACACTGGATTTTCCCACGCGCTGTGGTTAGCACGTGGAATTTATTTGTGTCGGGATCATTTTTCGCTCCTACCGCGAGGGTAGGACGGTGATGCAGTAGCAGGAATACCCAGAGTGAAATGAACGCAAGTCCTTAGATAGTCTTTATACAACTGATGGTTTTATTCATCATATATACAAACAACATGAATAGTCCTCACTGTACGTATCTCGAATATAGCGTATAGGTATATATATAATATATATTGCTCGTGCCACGTTCACGTTATCTCGTTAGGTGATTACACGTTTAACTTCTCTTAGTTAGTCTACAGGTTAATATTGCATACATCTCTGTCTCTCCCAGTCGTGTGCTTCGCGGCTCAGCGCGAGTTCGTGGGTTGGCAGTGTGTCTCCCCGTTGTGTGTAGGCTATAGCTCCGCGCCCCTCCCTTAGTATAGGATATACCTTCTCGGCCATCGTCCTGCTTGTGCGAGGCTCTCCCTCCGACGGTGTGTGTGCGCTCTGGCTCGAGCGGAATCGTTCGTTCGTTCGTTCGTTCGCTCGCTCGCTCGTTCGTTCGCTCGTTCGTTCGTTCGTTCGTTCGTGGTCGTCCGAAGACTGACTGATTTTACCATTGGATCTTGGCTGCTTATATAGGAGCCCGCGGTGACGTAGGATCCAGGCGGCGCCTCCCTGTCCCGTGCCTCGGGTGCCTGGTCGTTGTCCCCCCTCGTTTAACTCTCTACCTCTGTTGCGGTGGCTGGTCTCTGGTTGTATGACGTCATCCCCCCTGAACTCTGTGGACATCTGAAGGAGTCACCTAACACGAGGCGGCGCCACCAGACACCGTAACAAACCGTAACGCAAAAAGCCGAAATCTTGTAACCTCATAATCCTCATAAAAATCTTTTAGTCCAAAGGACTATAACAAAGACGTAGAGACAATTTTATCATATCGAAAGATCAACACTGCGGATCGCAGTGGAAAAAGCCGCATATTTACAATTTACTAAAGACAGAAATATTCATAGAAATAATATAATAGCTGTCAGCATAGAAATAATATTAATAATACTAGTTAGACTAGTGTCTCTATATTATATTTCTATGATCGTCATAGACCAAGAATAACTACTACTAGTACTACTACTAATAATAATAACAATAATAATAACTAACAATATATAATAATAAATATTTTTAGTACACGATATCATGCAGGCATATTACCCATGATTCCCCGCGGCTTTTACGTTACAAAGATGGTAGTATGGATTCCCATTTGGTTGAATAAATAATACCCTTAGAAAATGTATATATCGTGCTGATTGTAGTCTTAAACTATGGCGCGAAGAAAACAGAGTGTACCAACATTTGCCGCCTCTTCGTGTAAGTATTTCACTATTCATCGTGGATTTGTGGTGATTTACGTAGGGCTATCGTTAAAAATATAAAATGTAACTAGCCCACTAGGCACTACGGTTCAAGGATAGAGATGATGTCCAGATTGAGACCTATTGTAGCTCGGATCGGATCGGATACAATAATGTAACCAGAGTAGGGATAATGTAACCCAACAACCCTATGCTCTTGACTTGTTTTTAGTTTACAGTAATGTAACCAGTTGTACAGTTGTTTACATTAATGTAACTGTTGACGTTGTACCCAAACTTGGAATCTTGCACAAACTTGGAATTTCAACGCATCCGCAGTTTGGGCAACCAATCTTGAGATTGGGCAAAACCTAGGTTGGGCAAGGTGAGCAGGGGTTGCACAAACTTGGAATCATAGGCTGCGAAATGTTATATCATTACAATGAGTTCCCATATCTTATTTCTTGATTGTGTTTGCATATTGGTTAACAAATTATATCAAGAGCGTATAAAGAAGGAGAGCGTACAAGGGTAAAATGCTGAAACCATGCTGCAGTATTATTGATTAGCTGTCTTACCTTGTTCATATAAAACAAACCGCATGTCCCTACGATGCCCCTACGCTGAGATAATGAGTCAGGCTTTCCAGCGGCCCTAAAATTCCTAAAAATTCCTAAAATTTTGAGCTCGCCCTAAAATTCCTAAAAAAACTTTAAAAACGTATGCAATTCCTAAAAAAGGGCTAAAATTTTATTCAAATTCCTAAAAAAAAAATCACAGATATGTTTGGAGTTTTTGGTGATGAGATGATGAACTTTTGGTTTGTAATTATGTCTAATGCAGGGTCTCCAACCATTCCTCATTCTGCGGAATCATAACGATTTCTAGGCTTAATTTCCGCATTCTGCAGCGTCAAGGTTATATTCATCATTTCAGTTGCACTGTAAAAAATTTGCACTGATTGTTCGCATTGTTCGCTTGGACACATTGTTTATTTTCAGGCATTTTGTATCTGGCATAATTACGGTAAATGGAACAGTCTATACTAGTCAGACAGGCGCTGTCTGCAAGGTGTCGCGTAGTTTGTCTGCTAATTAGACAAGGGTTGTAGAGTTGAGTCTAGGGTTGAGATAGTGTTATCAGACATGAGAATATGGCCCACAGTATGCCTCCGATTGCAGGAAAATGGCTTAAATATTTCAAAATTTTCTGGTGGGGCATGCCCCCAGACATGCACGCGGCACTACGGCACGCGGGCCTGGCTGCGGCAGCGAAGGTACATTTCGCCCCCATCAATTTCTGAATACGCTACTAGTTACTGATCACCGCGGGAACATTCCGCATTTGGGGTTCATAGGGTTGGAGACCCTGCTAATGGATGTTTTCTAGTTATCTTTATACAGAGTAAGTATTGTGACTCAGTCTACCAGTGATTCCTAAGCTTCAGTGTCTGATTATACGACCCCGTTTCTGGCTGGATGTACAAGACATGCCTAATTTGCATGAAACTTGATGATGTACAGTCGTATCGAGGACTTGGAGGATAGGAATAGCTGGTAGACTGGACACATACCACATAGTAGAAAACTGTATCTGTACGTTAACACGTTGATGTTTATGAAAGGTAATTGACTTAATTTATCCCTAAAATGTTTCGATTCATCCCTAAAAATTCCTAAAATAGCCCTAAAAAAACCTTAATTTCTCCCTAAAATTAGCCCTAAAATGTTGTCAAGGACTGCTGGAAAGCCTGTAATTTGATTATTAGATAATTGAACTATTAGAGAAATTCCTTCCTAGTTTGCCTCAGTTATACTCGCATATGCCACAATCGCCATTTTAAAAGTGTAGTTGAATAAGCGACTGTTTTCAGTGTGCGCAATCTTGAGATTGGGCAGCCAAACTAGGAAATCTGCAGTTTGGGCAGCACTATCACTGCGCGATCTCAAGATTGTGCAAATTCCAAGTTTGGGTACGACATAACCAAGAGCTCATAATAGAGGAGGCACCGTGCGGTTTAACAGCGTTTTGCATAGTTTTCAACTTGTAAATATTCTATCAACATGTGAATAAATATATTCAAACTTTACCTTGTTTTCATCTATGATTCTCCCTTAAACATATGACACCATGAATTTACCTGAAAATCGTATGTGTTCTTCAAAAAAATTATTTGAATACGACACGGTTTCACACAGTTTTCCCAAATGTTTGCATACATGTATTCGTCGCATGTTGATATGCGACGGCAGCACCAGGTTGTAACTACGGGATGCTGGGGGCTGTTGGGGATATTAGGTAAGCACAGTAACAGCAAGCTTGTTTCACTTCCTTATCATCAGGAACACGATGGCAACACAGCTAAAATCAGCTGCTAGCTCGCCGTGAGCACACATTTATTTCTAGCACGCTGGAAACGCTACACGCTGAATACAATTCGATGCCTAATATCCCCAACAGCCCCCAGCGTTCCGTCATACACAATAGAACACTAATCCGATAATAAACTTGCGCTGAATACATGCGAACATTTGGGAAAACTGTGTGAAACCGTGTTGTATTCTAATAACATTTTTGAAGAACACATACGATTTTCAGGTAAATTGGTGGTGTCATATGATTAAGGGAGAATCATAGACGAAAACAAGGTAAAGTTTGAATATATTTATTCACATATATGATATTGATAGAATATTTACAAGTTGAAAACTATGCAAAACGCTGTTAAAACGGTGTCATATTCTTCTCTATTATGAACTCTTAATGTAACCCAACAACCCTTGTTACTATAATGTTGGTCAGAGTAGCGTTTAAACCACTATATCGTAACTTTCGTAACTTTGGGGGTACACTCTTAAAAATTAACTCTTCTTTCTGAGGTCTTCTTCAGGGTGTTGTCTAATAATTTCTAGCTGAACGTTGAATGTTTGTTTTGCTTGGTACATATATATAATGTATTGCCTACAGATTTAGAAAATGTACAGTGATACAATTTGTAAAATAAAAAAGAATGGGGAAGATCAAGAAAAAAAATTTGAGTCTGCCCTTTTTGGCGGGTCGGTCGGGTGACGGCCAATAAACAATATTTTTATTATGGCCTGGGATAACTGTTCATAAAATAAGAATCCTTGACCTCAGTTTCAGAAGAGGGCGCCACCGACAGCAAGCGGCAGCGGCTGGAGATCAAGGACGAGCCATTCAATGTCGAGGAGTATGAGATACACAGCTCGTCCGAGAGCGAGCCGAGTCACAGCGGGGGCGCCACTGACCTCCACGAGCCGCGCCTCACGAGCAGCGGCTACTCGGACACCGAACAGGCGCTGTCGTCTGACGGCGCGAGTGCAGCGCTGGCGTTCAACGATGGCAACACCTCCCCGCTGTCTGCCCTTAGGAACCTCTCTGGTACCTGTGCACACCAGGTCCCAATAGGGGGCGCTGTGAACCACTACGGCTCCGTGCTGCCGAACCAGCATGACGACGTGAATCAAGCTGGTCAGCAGAGGATGCCGGCTGTCCCTAGCAATGTCGGAAGCCACGACGGGCTACCTGCTAATTCAGACGATCTCTCTTCGTTGGAATGTTCGTTCAGGTAAAATATTTGGGGAGGCAGAAGAGACGTGACCATCGGCAAGAGCGTATAAAGAAGGAGAGTGTACAACGGTGAAATGCTGAAACCATGCTGCAGTATTAGTCGAATTAATAAACTTTGCCCGTTTTATTTTGACGATTCTTTGTGGTATTATTGATCAGCTCTCCTACCTTGCTAATATAAAACAAACCGCTTGTCCCTACGATGCCTCTACGCTGAGATAATGAGCGGTGAAAATCTGGTATTTTCGCCGAAAACCGACTCGAGATACGTAGTGGCTGCGACTGTCTCTCGTTCTGGCGATAGCTTCTGGAAACCTCGCGTGTTTCCGTCATTCATTGACAATGAAATTTATTTTCCTTCCACAAAGTGCTTTGTACTGTACTATCTTTTCTCGCATTTCCAATCATTGACGCAGCCATTACTCCACAAAAACGTCTTGTTATTTATCGCCATGGTGTTGACCTGCCCCTTACGCTGGATGTAGTAACGCTGTAGTAATAACGTATCGAGTCCGCGCTACACAGCAGCGACCGGAAGCAACATACAGTCCACAAAACGAGAGACAGTTGCAGTATCTGACTGATCTCGAGTCGGTTTTCGACAAAAAATACCAGATTTCCACCGCTCATTATCTCAGCATAGAGGCATCGTAGAGACATGCGGTTTGTTTTATAAGTAGTTTGTTAAAAGTATAGTACTTGTTTCAAGGTAGGACAGCTGATCAATAATACTGCAAAGAATTGTCAAAATAAAACGGGAAAAGTTTGTTAATTCGACTAATACTGCAACATGGTTTCAGCATTTCACCGTTGTATGCTCTCCTTCTTAATACGCTCTTGCTATCGGTTATATATAAATATAAATATATATATATATATATATATATAAGAAAAAAAAACTAAAGAAATATTAGAATATTACTTCTATTGCCGGCTTGAGTCGCTAATGATCCAGTGTCTTGCACTACATTTAATTATAGTATGCTTATAGTTATATACTCTCTAACTTATGTTTGTAGGCTATTATGTAGTAATTTGGTCAATGAGGATTGTCTGTATCTGTCCTACATGAGTTGCATTTACAATACTGTATAAGCCGTATTTTCCTCGTACAGATATTTTCGCGAATTCAGACTTGACGGACAATTTCGGGAGTGGTCAGGTTAATTCGCGAGTAGTAAATTTCGCTGTCGGTGGATTATGAATTATTCGGTATTATTCAGTATGAACTATTCGCGTGTTGTTATTTTTGCGGTCGGGGACGCGTTCGCGAAATTCGCGAAAATTAAACCACCCCGAAATATACAGCTTATATACAGTATTTGTTATTAGTTGAAATTTTAATGTAGTATATAATGTTTAAAACAGTGATGTGCTACAGTTATATTCTTTGTCACCCAGAGTTGTCACCTGATCTATTGCTGAATCATGTGTATCATCTGTAGCTAAATATTTTTTGCAGAACTTGACTGTGTTGACTGAACCATGGGTTTGTTCACGTACAATCTTCGTTAAACAACATTCAATAAATTTTTGAACAGGTTTAAGGTGGAGACAGAATATCCAGTTGTGACATGTCTCAGAGGGAACAGCATTGACACAGGAGAGGAGATCAACATGTTCAAGTGTCACCTGTGCAATAAGATGTTTATGACCCTGAGCGGTGTTCAGCAACACCTGGCACTCCATGTTGCTAAGGTACAGACAAACACTAATACATGGCTCTTTTTTTAAGAAAAAAGCTAATATATATGTTTAGGTTACCGTGTACAATTGCCCTTAATAACAGTCTTCCCTTTTCTCCATGTAAACATATTATGTGCATGAATTAAAATCGTGTAGAAATTTTGGTGATCAGTTTAAAATTCTGTGCTTAGTCCGTAATTTCCGTTTACATGATGATGAGATTTTATGCGTGCTCCCAATAAAGCATTCGGGATATGAGCGAAGTTATGACCGACATTGTTCTTATGCCCACAGAAAATAATGCTTCTCCACGTTTAGGATATCACAAGACTCTTACCGGAAGCTAAATTGCCACCACCTGATGACACGCCATCTGCAATCAGTGGCCGAATGCCGTCGGCTAGCGACAGCTATTCAAAACAGCTATCAAGCAGGCAGTGGTCGTCACCTCTACTGCAGGGCCACGGCAGCACCCGGGCGTTGCAGTGCGACGCGGACGAGAGGTCTGGTGGGAGGGTACCGCTCGCCAGGAGAGACGAGGGCAAGCAGCAAGCCGAGCAGCCGGGTGAGTACCCAGTGTAATGTAGTGTAGTGTAAGAGCTGGGGGGCGGGGAGGAGTGTGACGTATGAGGCGGCAGGTTATATGCTACATCTCTGCTATACGCTCTCCACACACAGGTTTAGCGCTTGTCCCTTTTTGCCGAAACGTTTCATTTAGTCTTTCCAAACGCTTCACGTCTCAAACGTGGACGATCTGGGAGAGCGGAAAAATTGCACGGCTGTTGTGGTTAAAAAAAAGGTCTCACCGCTAGTGGGCTCACTCAGACGGGGGGCCGCTGCGAATATCCAAGCGCTAATCCTGTGGTTGGGTCTGTTGCAGAGCTAAGTGGTCGTGTTGCCAGTGTAGAGAGCCGGCTGGAGAAGCTCCACGTGGGCCTGGAGCAGGTAATGAGAGCGATGGGAGCTGTGCTGAATGTTGTCAAGGCGGATGCAGGCACGCCGCCTAATGGCAGTTATGCTCGAGCGAACGTTGACGCGGTGTCGGCGGCCGCTCTCAGCGGTAACGGCACACACGCGACAACTACGCTCTCGTCTATACCCGCTAGCAACCATGTCACGACTATGGTCTTGTCTGTTGGAAAGACAGATGCAGTGTCCGTATCCACACCCATGTGCGTTGCACCAAAGGCGCGGATGACGGCGCCCTTGGCGAATTGCATACGGGTGGCGTCGCCGCTGCCACCGCCCCCGCCGCCGCTTATGCAGGCACTGTGCAGTGAGCCGAGTCTTGTCGCGTGCAGTAGTCGCCTGCCGGTTGACGACTACGACGTGCTGTCGGGCGGCGTCGCACTACACGAGTACAATGAGAGGCTGCACGCACTCACATGGCCGGGGATGAACGATGCGGCGGCGGCTGCGCTGCACGAGGACGCGGAGGCCGGGGTGGGGGCGCTGCCGCCGCACGATGACGACAACGACGTGCTCGGCCGGCTCGTGCTGATGAGCGGCTCGACGCTACGCGCTCGCGAGATCAAGAAGTCCGGACCGAACCGGTTGCGCAAGTTCTCGACGGAGTCGATCAAGGCGAGGCTGCGGCAGCTCGAGTCGCTCGGTTTCGGGCAGCTGCAGAATGCGCAGCTGTTCACGAAAACACCGCCACGCGGCATCACGGAGGAGCAGTGTTCTGCGCTCGGCATCACGCGGCATTTCTACGAGAATTCCTACCTGAAGCCGATCCACTCCGGCACACAGAAGTATCTTGAGAGCTTCCTGGCAGCGACGTGGCATCCAAGCGAGCTGACGACCCAGGAGAACGACTGCCTGGGCCACGAGTGACAGCCTTTTCACGAGTTGCGTCAAACGGAAGTTTGCGAGAGAGATATGTGACTTTCCGTATTTTGAAAATATGTAATAGTGTCCATATATATAAAGTGCGTATAGTTGCGTGGTTTTTGTAATAGTAAGGTAATTTAACTTTGTAATAACTGAGGTAAAATATATCTGTATAAATATTTTGAATAAGTATTATGAGGAATAAATAATTTAGTTTAATATAATTGTGTCCTTAGATTAAGCTCTTGATGTGTTCAAAACATTTAACTACCCTGAGTAGAAGTCGAGTTGTTATGAATGTGTTTTCTGTAATAACCCAATTAAAGAGTTAAGCTTTACTGTTAAAAATAGCTCTGCCCCTAATTAGTAAAAGAACTTGAATTTATCCATAACTCAACAAGCATATCTCCTGACCTGAGTTTTTGCTATGCATTCCTACTTGCGTACTTGTACATGACATGCCCTCGTGCTTGGCAGTGTCAGAGGTAAGTAATCTCAATATATAATTCTTGAGATTATGTATCTCGAAACAATAACTCGCTTTATCTCAGTGTCGCAATACCTCTATTTGAGGTTATTTATTCTTGGCAGTATCTATAGCTTTCAAGTGAAGAAACTGTTATACATGGATGTAAATCAGAAGTAGATAATAGGGCTATTATCTTCTTCTGATGTATATGGACACACAAGGATGTACAAAGGAAGAACATGTTTTCCTGATCGGCTGTGATCTGGTCTTGACTGGCTTTATTGCAGCTCAGAAACACTCATGATCTGCGAGAGTTTTTTTTCATTTTGGGACTTTTACCTCAATGGAACTATATATATATATATATACTATATATATAGGATACTATATATCCCAGTAAGTGAGGGACTTGATAATTTTCTAACCAAATCAACTACTAGTTTTTTTCTACTAGACAAATTAAATCGTACTTATTTAACTGGAGTACAATATCGGGATCACATAGTTTGTTTCCAATGCCATTGATATTCCAAAAGCATATGTCTATGCCCATTAATCACAGTTTAATTACAAATTCATCACAGTTCAATAACGATGTTGCGGGCCCTGCGTCAACCATGTTCGTGCTATACTGAAGCACGTGTTGATTTATGATGATATATTTCCAATGGCCATAGTGTCGCTGGTGGTTTGCTGAATCGTTATTTTGACCATGGACAAATGCATCGGTTACACAGATCATGATTCTATTCTATAATAGAAAAGGCTGAAATATATGATGGATAATGGATTTAAATGGTGGCTGTTACAGAGATGCCAACCACTACGATTTATCCGTATTTTATACTAATTTATATTATTTTGCACCACTACGACCAGTTTGTATCAAACTACGAATTTAAATGTGATCGAAAAAAAAAATTTGTTTGTTATTTTTTGTCAATTTATTGTCATTTTTGACCCTCAAGAGTGCAGGAAATTGCATCTCAGAATCAAACAATTTTCCGGGGGGCTTGCCGGATCCCCTAGCAAACTCGGGTCACTACGTGACTCTCGAACTACTAATTTGATGGCCAGAAACTACAGATTGCTTCAAATATGTGTTGGCATCTCTGCTGTTACGTGAATGGCCCTACTAGGCCACGGTTGAATGGCCCTACTAGGCCACGGTATGTTTATTTGGTTTATGTGCTTGCTGACAGATGTCGTAGTTAGTTCACGGGGCAGCTGTTTATTTGGTCGGATCCACGGATCTCGATCCACTGGATCGAACACTGGACCAAACAAACGCAAACTCACTTTCAACGGTTCACGTTTCGCTGTAACCTATCACGGGATGGTTCATAACAAAGAACAAGCTGTGATTGGCTGAGGCGCGGGCCGCCATATTGGATCCCGTTCTAATCCACCTCGCTAGCAGGGTCGGGTTCGGTGGATCGAGATCCGTGGATCCGACCAAACAAACAGTCAGATCAACGAATCCATTGGATCGAGATCTGTGGATCCGACCAAACACACGCGCCCTAAGATGAAAAGTCACCATTTCTGCTGAAGTTATGATTTGCAACTTAATAAACCTGCATGGCGGAATACACGTACACACCCCTGTTCTGTTTGCCTTGTGTCAGCGCTGAAGGCGCGCGCCGACTTCGCACCGTGTTCGGGCTGGAGTGTGCCGTTGGCGCGCACGAGCAAAATATCTACCGTGTTTAATTTTTCTGGCTCTGCGCCGTTTGTGCGCGCCGAATTCGCACCGTGTGTGGGCTGGTTTGCGTGCACAAATGGCGCAATGGACCCTTAAGGCCCCTGCACACGGTGCGAATTTGTCGCGCTCCAATGGCACTGAGCTAAACGCACGTTTGCTCGTTGCATTGTCACGCGTGCGCATTGCTTGGGTTGTGCGCGCAAATGACACACGCCAGCCCGCACACGGTGCGAATTTGGCGCATGCCTGAGGTCTTTATATATGCAGTATTATTGCATTTAAATAATTCGCCTATTATAGAGGAGTGCCATTTGATGCAGATGTGGGCCTGATACATCACGATCATGATTGTGCGTCGTTTCTTTTGCCTTTTTCAATGTTTAAAAAATAAATTATACAGCTTTCCTATCATTTATGTCTTGTGTTATTCTTGGACCTCCACTCGTATACAGATCAACCATCTAATCACTTGAGCTGTGTGTTTATTTGGTAACATCCCAATTGGCCTACTCCCATTTCGCCTACTTCCCATTTCGTCTACTGTCAGAATGGGAAATATTCCCATTTCGCCTACTCCCTTTCCGTCTACTCTCAGAATGGGTAATAGTGCCATTTCGTAGTAGTATTGATATTACAACAAATACCAGGAGAACTTAGTGTGGATGCCACTCCGTCTAGCCTATATATGCTAATCAAAATCATATATTACATTTATAAATGATTATTTAGTGGAAAACTGATGGTATACAAAATGGTAATGGGGTGGATTTTAAGCTCATCTGGCCAGGGGCGTAAATCCGTACTGCGGAGTGGGGGGGATGATCACGCGAAGGGGGGGTCTGGGGAAGTTAGACCCCCTCAGATGCGTTTTCTGCGCGAGCAGGGGGGGTTCAGCTGCCGAGATCTTCAAGTGGGCTAGTCCAACTTCGTACGAGTCTAGATTTATAAGAAAAGACAAAATCATTCTCTTTTTTTTATCAAAAAGTCTTTTGATAATATTTTGCAATTATCCAAATATGACAGTAACTTTATACTACCGGTACTACAAAGGCTACTTTAGAACACGAAGGCCAACTCATTACCAGTGAATAAATTTATCTATATTTATAAATTAAAATTGTGTTCGTTCTCATTCTGACATTTCTGCCATCAAAATTCCCACATGACAAGGATAGAATATGAATCATGATTCAACTTTCAAAGTTTCAATTATTCATCTTAACTGTTTGAATTGTTGGATGAAAAGTAGTTAACCATGTGGGACATACCCTTCACTTTCGCACGTACTACAGATATGTACCCGAGGTAGTTTTAGGTTGTTTATAGTTTAGTAGAGGTATGTTTAGGGTTAGGGTTAGGGTTAGTGTTAGGGTTAGGGTACACTTCTGTAGTACAAGTCTGGTACACTTTGTGTATACATATATGTACCTCGGGTACATATCTGTAGTACCTGTTACGACAACTGTTGATAACGTGTAGGTTCAACAAATAACAGGACAAACCCAGATAACGAGTCAAGTCTTTACGCCATGTTAACTCCCGAACGCTCCTGGTACCACGCCATGCATTATGGGACTGACGGGTACATGTAAATACCGGAATCACTCTGTACAATGAAACGAAACTGTTGTATAAGGCGCGTTCACACGGACGTTTTTGGCCCGAGCCTAATCAGGCCCGTGCCAGATTTGGCTCGAGCCGAGCGTTCACACGGACGTTTTTGGCCCGAGCCTAATTAGGCCCGTGCCACGAATTTTGGTCGCCATCGAAAACGGCGGACCAGGCCCAGGCCAGAACTTTTAGCACGCAGCTTCGCGAGAGGTAGAGGCGGTAGAATCGCTTGAGGCGGTAGATGCTGCGAGTGTCAAACGTGTACTTCGACGAAATAAAGTCCAAAACAGTAATAAAAATTCGACAAATTTGATCAGGATGCCACGTTTTCAAGATTGATAATTGTAACTCGGAACGTAAGTAAACACTCTAAATCGTACACAACGCCATCTCGCGACATACTGCCAAAGTATCTGTGAGATATTTTGCAATAAATTATTGAATTGAATTTTGAATTTGACAGACAGTATTTACCTCCCCCCTACTTGCGTACGTGTGAACGCTCACCGACTCAATTAGGCGCGAGCCAAATTTGGCCCGAGCAAAATCTAGCCCATTTGGCTCGAGCCAAATCATGACCGTGTGAACACCGGCTATTATCATAAGTATCTGTTCTTGTGTCAACAAGTTATCAGCACTGGCATGTGCTGCCACCTATGGAGGTTGAGGGGAACTAAATAAACATGGCTGGTTTCTGTTAACTCAAGGCTTTTGTCCTACTCATTATTGTGTTCTAATTAACGCCCACAAGATAAACCTCCTGACTCAACATGGTGTCAGATTGTAAAAGAGACGCGGAGACACAGTAAATAGGACAGTGGTGATGCCCGCAGTTTGCTCAGTTTGCCCATGTCTATGTGGTAGACAAGTCAATGCGGTAATGTAGTGCATGCTACACGCGCCGTTAGTCTCTGATCCTACTGGATTTTCGGATGAGCAGTGACTTTTCTGAATTCTGACTATCTGTGGAACTTTACACACGTTCTGCCCTTCCCGGTAGTAGTGACTATGGCACAGTTCCAAGTCCAACCACCTGAGTCATTCGACTTAAGGAAAGCCGGAGGGCTGGTCAAAATGGATCAGACGGTTCGATAGATTCAGACAAGTGTCTAGCCTCTCAGAAAAGGGGAGCCAGAACAAATAGACACCCTCATCTACTCAATGGGTGATGAAGCGGAGGAGCATTCTAATGTCCACTGAATCTAACGGAGGATGAGAACAAGAGTTTACGGAACTCACTAAAGCTAAACTGGATAGATATTTTGCTACCGAAGAAGAATGTCATTTTTGAGCGGCAAAATTCAATCAACGTTTCCCAGAAGGAGGGTGAACTGTGGATTCGTTCATCACCGATCTTTTTCACTCTGCGGAAAAGTGCGACTTCGTAACACTGCATGACGAGTTAATCCGGGATAGGATTGTGGTAGGACTTAAGGACGGCAGATTGTCAGAGCGTCTGCAACTTGACGCAGACTTGCGGCTTAGAACTGCCCATGGACAAGGCTCGCCAGAGCGAAACCATTCGCAAGCAACAGGGCATTCTGCGAGGGAGCGCCTCCCCCATGCTGGCGGAGGTCGCCAAAGTCAGAAACGACGAGATGCCATGGCATCCCAAACGTCCACCGCCTACACCGCCATACAGTGGTAGCAGTCAGAAGCAGTTTCAGCCTAGAAAGCAGGCTGGGAAGTCGTGTCCCAACTGTGGACAACCGCCGCATTAGAAAAAGCCGTGTCCAGCCAAAGGTGTAGAATGCACTTTTTGCAGAAAATTGGCCACTTCAAAATGTAATTGCCGAATTCGCAATCAGTCAACGAGGTTGGTTCGGAGGCTGACCCTTCATCCGCTTTCATGGGAGGCACTACAATCTCAAGCAGAGGGGATCTTTCGTGGCAAAGCGAAGTAAAGATAGCAGATTCGTTCATCGTGTTGGAAAATCGATACGGGTGCTGGTTCGTGATGCCATTGAAAAATGTACTGGCGAACGCTATGGAAAGTTGGTCAGGCCTAGCAAAGGTCATTAGTAGGAGCTGCTGGTTCCAACTCGACGCTGGTCGGGATGTTCGTGGAAAACTTGAGAAAGGTTCGCGGTCGCGATAACCGACATCTACGTTGTTCGTGACCTTTACGAAACACTTCTTGGCGATGCAAGCCAATTAGGAAACTTAATCTCGTGTCGGTAGTCAGGTCGTCAAGGGCAAAGCTATAAGTGGAAAAGTCAATTTCCAGAACTGTTTTCATCGCTTGGTAAGATGAAGGGTGACCATGAGATAAAAAATCGAGGACAGTGCGCAATTTCGTACTCGATCTCAACGCCGCGTCGTGTTCCTATACCGCTGTACGAGAAGGTCAAGGAAGAGCTCATGCGCATGGAGAGCATGGGAGTTATTTCCAAAGAGTAACTGAGCCAACATACACTGGTGTGGCTGGAATGGTTGTGGTTCCAAAACCCAACAGGAACTGTCAGGATCTGCGTAGACTGCAAACAAAGTTGAATGAAAGTGTGAAACGTGAGAAACACATTCTACGTCCTGTGGACACTACACTAGCGCGTCTAAGTGAGCAA